CAGAGCGGCGCGCTAGCGGCGGCCTGGAGAGGACCTGACAACCGACCTCTACGAAGTCGGCTGCGGCGGTGCCTGCTTGCAGCGACTACAGTCAAACCACGAGGGACACCGCATTCGTCTCAGTGAAGTGCTCGCCGAAGAGTTTGCTATAGCGGGAGGCCCAGCCCAGCTCTGCAAACCCCGCAAGGCTCAGCTAGCCTCTCCCCCGGCAAGGGGCCCTCCCGGCGATTGGGAGAGCAGCCCAGGACACGTCAGTCTTACCACTTCCGCCCTCACCAGCCGGGGCCTTAGACCGGCGGGAAGCTCCTTCCTGGAGCCTGGAGGCGACAGCGGCCGCCCCACCAGTGGTTTACCGTGGAGAGGGTTGCTTTCGTGGCTTGACTACGAGGATGCAGACGCCCCTTTTGGAAAAGACTCGTCGCCCGGCCTCCGGCCCGCCCCGGGGAAGGTTCGAGAGCAGTGCCCGCTGCGCGCGCCCAGTGACTGTCCAGGACACGGAATCCGGGCGGCGGCTGTGCCCACATCTAGTGGACGCCCCGAAGCGTTTGCCGGCCGCACCAATGGGACTCGCCACTGACTCCTGGGGCCAAGCCCTGAGCGGTTCCTGGCCCAACCCAGGCGGGGATGAGGATTTGGGCGTTGCTGTGCTAGGACAGGCAGGGTATAGCACATAGAAGGATTGTGGAGTCTGTATCTCACCTCACTGTTTCTCACCCACCTGTCATGAATGGCCTGCCGCCAAAAAATAAATACGTAAATAAAAATATCTTCCCGAGGTTGAACCTGGAGGCCTCCCTGGCAATGCCTGTTCCATGTCCGACGATAGGTAGGTCTAAGCCAGGTCTGGTGCAGAGGCACGCAAAGAGATAGGATGTCTGCAGTTTCACCCCGTGAGTTGGACAGCTTGACAGGGTTATTATTTATTGCAGGTAAAGAATCTTGCCATACATTGGACTCATGTTTTTGTTCTTATTTATCTATGTGTATGTATTTTGGCTTCTCTTAATTTAGTATTGCAAATTATTCTGGAAAAGTTTACCCTTGTCTGTCTCAGCAATGTTTTAAGGGGATCTTGCCTTTAGGGGAGTTTCCTGAGTTTCCCTGGAGGTCAGACCCAGGGGCACTGACATCCCTTTGACCACCTGGGAGCAACGTGTAAGGAAGCTGACTTAAGGTTCCCTTTTCCTGGAGAAAGTAGTACAGCAGAAAGTTACCAGTGGCTTCTGGACGGAAAAGTCCTTTATTTACCCACATCTGCCCTCTCTGACCTAGCCCTCCTCCCTGCAGGAGAAGGTGAGGTTCCAGGAAGTAGGGGATTGAGTGTTTTAGACAATCAATAAATTTTGTAATTAGAAAAGTAACTTAGGATGGCTTTGGAATAGTTTTTAAGAGACCAGGACAACCACCTGGTTTCTAAAGCCAGAAACCTGGGCCTCTTACCCCCTGCCCCTAAGATCAGTGCCACCAAGCCTTATCTACTTATTTCCTGAATATCTTCCAAATACCTGCCCTCCACAGCTGTCTTGGTTCAGGCCCATCCTCTCACCTATATTACCATGACAGTCATCTTGCTAGTTTCCTGGTCACAGCCTCCTTTGGATCCATTTTCCACACTGCTGCTGCAATGATTTTTTAAAATCCTAAATGTGTTCTGGATTAAAGGTGTTCTATATTTTGCAACAGTGGTTCTCAAATCCTAATGTGCCTTAGATTCAGCCAGAAGCTTGTTAAAAACATATACGTAGGCCCCACCAAATCTGGATCTTGGGGGAGTTGGCATAATTAATTTTTTTAACAAGCTCTGATTTTGATACTAAAATTTGACCACGAATACATAAAGTCAAAAAAGCTTGGCATATGAGGCCTCTCACACCTGGATCTTAATTCTTAATTCTTCAGGTATATTCCCCTTCTGGAATCCTATCCTGTATTCAAATTGAAATTTTAAATGTCATGTTCTCTCAAGCCTGCAAGCCTCATGTAGTTCCTTTTGCCCTGACTGCCCAATCTCCCATTTTCTGCTTACCTCCCTGGAGATTCCTTTTGAACAGTGCAAATGCCACCTTTCCTATAAAGCCTTCCCTTACATTTTCCAGTCTTTGTTTATAGTACTTTATCTCAGTATACTGTTAATTTACTTATGAGTCTTTCTCCCTTGTTAATTGCTAACTCCTTATAGGAGACTATAACTTACCCATTTTGGTATCCTCGGGACCTAGCAATGCTTTTATATATATAGTAGGCAGCTTAATACACATTCCTTAAATGAACTGGTTTACCCCCATACAGAGAACAGAGCTGCTACAAAGCTCTAGGGGCCAGATGCCTATTCAGGGGAGCAGATGATGGGCAGGGCTAGGTGGGCCTCCTTACCATGGTGCACCCTGAAACTACTCATCTTCATAGATTGAGGATGTGGTTCCAGCTTCCAACAAGACTTTGGAGCCATCCTGCCAACTGGGTCAGGCTGTCAATAAACGGGAATTTACCAGTAGCCTATGGCATAATCTATTGTTGGAGGTTTTGTTTTATTTCGGAGGATGGAAGATAGAAGCAATATGATTCTTCCCTTGTTCTTTCTCTACATGCCCCTTATTCTTTCTTCTTCATGCCCTCTGCCCTCCCCCAAACCTTAAATTCAGACAACCCCTCTATGACCACAACCTCTTGTCATTCCCACCAAATTTGTTCTTCCATTTCACTGAGGCCTGCAACCCCTCCTCCTGCCCTTTTGTCTTTTTCTAGCTTGTCTTCCTAACACATGTACCTTAGATTCTGCATTCCATCATTTCAGCCACATTCTTGCCTGTGTTGTTGATGCCTCTCCCGTTATTCTTTAATTGCAGGTGCCAAGTGAAACCTTAATCTTGGGTTAATTCATCTATCAATATGCAAGTACCTATACCAGGATGCTAAAAGATTCTTAACATTATGATATGTTAAGATCATGTGTCTCTAAATTGTGTTCTCCAACTTCAATTGGGCCCCCAAATCTGCCTGGTGATCCTACTCATTTTCCAAACCAGCTCTCTTCCATTCTCCATAACCCATTCTTTGCAAGCCTCTGACTTTACCTCCCTCTTCTGATCAGTTGACCTCCCTTATAGCCTAGTGGGAGATGCAAGAAAAGAAATTACAGACACTATGGTAGATTCTGTGACAGAGAAAGTATTGGGGCATGGGAGCATCCAGGAGGGGGGAACTTCTAATTTGGAGTTGAGCAGTCAGTAAAGGCTTCCTTAAAACAACTCATCAGTTAAGTCTTGAAGGGAGAGCAGGAGTTTGCCAGAACAGAGGGAACAATGAAGGAAAATCAATTCCGTTTGGCTGGAGCATTGTGTGTATGTTAAAATAGTGGTCTCCAACCTTTTTGGCACCAAGAACCGGTGCTCCTATGAGAATCTAATGCTTATGATCTGAGGTGGAGCTGAGGTGGTGATGCTAGCACTGGGGAGTGGCTGCAAGTACAGATGAAGCTTTGCTCACTTGCTGGCTGCTCATCTCCTGCTGTGCGGCCATGGGGGATAGGGACCCCTGTGGCAGATAAAATTAAGGAGGTAAGCATGGTCAGATCTTGAAGCCACATAAAAGAATTTGTACTTGATCCTGTGGAGAACAGGGAGACATTAAATTGATATGGGAATAAAATCAGATTTGTGCCTTGGACTTAAGGGCAAAGTACAGAATTCAGGGTCTCAGAAGGCAAGATAATGCATTTCAAAGATAAGGGGTAGAGTCCACTTCCCCACTTCAGTGTAAGTGATCCTTATAACCCTGTAACTGTCTTTACTCATGTAAAGATATGGAAGTGATGCTTTGCAATTTTGGAGCCTACCCTCAATTGTTCATGGAACTTGGGATTTTTTTCTCTTGAAATTCAGTGCCACTATGTGAAGGAACTCAGGCTGAATTATGTAACCATATGCAGCAGAAATCCCAGCTGAGATGAGATTACTGAATGAACCATCTGACTGAGCCTAGCTCAATTTGCAAAAAAAGAAAAAAAAGAAAAGAATTTAAAAGTTAGATTCCTTAGAACACGCTTTTATAATACCTTGTAATTCTCTGTAATATTCACACATTCATGTGTTTCTCCTGCTGGATTATAAACTAGGAGCACAGGGTCTATTGGCCTTATTGCTTATTTTATCCAAGTATTCAGCACACTGCCTGGCACATAGTAGGTGCTCAAATAAACATGAATGGTTGAAGGGACCCATATCTATGAAGTCTCACCAGACTGTGAAGGTGCCTCCAGGAATGAATATGTTCCAAACTGTACTTCATTCTCAAGCCTTGTGGCCAATAGTGGATAGAAGGTGAATTGTGATGTGTGCGGAATATGGGACCCTGGGAAGTTCTGTATCCAAGAGGAGAAAGAAGTAAGAACAGCCAGTGGAGACAAAAAGAACTGCTTCTCCCTTCTTCCTCCTCAAAGTTCCTAGTGGAGAGCTGAACCCAGCATCCCAGACTTGTGTGACTACACAGGCAAGCATTTGGAGACTAACTTTGCTTTGGTTACCCTAGCCCGCAGTGGCTCAAGGTGTTGGCTTTCAGAGCAGACAGGAGGCTTTTAAGTAGCAAAGCTCTGTGCTCTCAGCAAGCCCAACACCATGGGGAAGGGAGATACCCAGGAGGTAGCACCACCCACCTCAGCCTACCGCTCTGTCATGGAGGAGTATGGTTACGAGGTGGGCAAGGTGATCGGCAATGGTTCCTATGGGACGGTGTATGAGGCTTACTACACAAAGCAGAAGGTCATGGTGGCTATCAAGATCATCTCAAAGAAGAAGGCCTCCGAAGACTATCTCAGCAAGTTCTTGCCCCGTGAGATACAGGTTAGAAAGGGGACTGGAAGAGGGAACTGGTACCAAGCTTCTTAAGGCTTTTCAGAAGGGGTATGATTAGGAGAGGTTAGAGCCAGAAACCCTCAAACCAGAACTGAATGTCTCACTGAGCAGCTAGGAAAATTACTTGGTGTAAATTTAACCTCAAAAAAAAAATTTTTTTTAATTATTTATTATTATTATTTATGTCTATAGCACCTAGTCTTCCTAGGTGGTCTCCCATCTAAGTACTAACCAGGCCTGACCCTGCTTAGCTTCACGAGATCAGACATCAGGCTTGTTCAGGGTGGCATGGCTGCGGACCATGGACCATGGTTCCACTGGGGCATGAATTCAGGAACTTCTGCGTGTAAAGCAGATGTGCTAACCGCTACACTATGGAACCACATCCAAATTTAACCTCTTTCCACTCACCGATTCACCTCAAGCCCCTCAAGTGCAGGGTTTGCCGACAAGCTATCAGCCCTCTGGGGTTTGATCTTTTTGCAAAGTTATAAGAAAGTAGCAGTGGAAGAGTAGGAGGGCTGGGAGTGCAGCCAGGGTTCTCCCTTCCCAGGTTTGATGGGTCCCTCCTCTGGGCCAGGTAATGAAGGTCCTACGGCACAAGTACCTCATCAACTTCTATCAGGCCATCGAGACCACATCCCGAGTGTACATCATTCTGGAGCTGGCTCAGGGTGGTGATGTCCTTGAATGGATCCAGCGCTACGGGGCCTGCTCGGAGCCCCTTGCTGGCAAGTGGTTCTCCCAGATGACCCTGGGCATCGCCTACCTGCACAGCAAGGGCATCGTGCACCGGTGAGGGCGCTGCCACCCAGACTGGGGCCTTTGGGCTCTAAAGGGGGTTTTAAGCACATCTCCCATTTTCCGTCATGTTTTTTTCCTCCCTTGACCTCCCTCCTCAGTATCTAGGCCCATTCATCCACTCTATTATAGTCATCTGATCAATAACAGTAAGTACTCATTCTGAGCAGAGTGCTTTATGAAATATAATGGTAAGCTCCCAGGGGTCCTCAGGTACCATCCTCTCTCCTCTTTGGGTTCTGCTCACAACTCCATGGCTTTCCTTCCTCTCTACCTTATGTCTTCATAATAGTATCTCCCACCGTGCCTTTACTCATCGCTAGCCTTTGACCCCTGGCCCTTCAGCTCTGGGTCTAATACTAAGCCCTCTCCCTGACCCCCAGCCTTTCTGCTGCTGGTAGGGACTTAAAGTTGGAGAACCTTCTGCTGGACAAGCGGGAGAATGTGAAGATATCGGACTTTGGCTTCGCCAAGATGGTGCCTTCTAGCCAGGCTGTGCAGAGCAGCCCTTCTTACCGCCAAGTGAACTGCTTTACTCACCTCAGCCAGACCTACTGTGGCAGCTTTGCTTATGCCTGCCCGGAGATCTTGTTAGGCTTGCCCTACAACCCTTTCCTGTCTGACACCTGGAGCATGGGCGTCATCCTCTACACTCTAGTGGTCGCCCGCCTACCCTTTGATGACACCAATCTTAAGAAGCTGCTGAGAGAGACTCAGAAGGAGGTCACTTTTCCATCTAACTCCTCCATCTCCCAAGAGTGCAAGGTGCTGGCTCCTCCAGGAGGGCTGAGACCTCGGGAATGACCACAGGGAGGGAACCCAACATAGGCCTCCCAACCCTGGGGAAAGCTTTTCCCTAGAGCCATCTCACACTCTAGCCCCTGCCCTAGAATAGTGGGGAGCACTTAAAGGACCAACCATTGGGCTCCACACGTGGCAAGCAGGTTTCAACTTCTATCTCTTTAGGCCAGAAGGGGATTGATTATGCAAGGGATTCCCTCAAAGAACCCATCTTTCCTCTCCCCTCCAGGGAGTTAAAATACCTGGCTTTTTATGATAAAATCAGGGACATTCCCCCTTCCACCAGAGTGGTATGATGGGCTATCCTGCTTCTTTCTTAGGTCCCCTGCTCTTTGCCTATGTGACACAATGGGAGGCTCAGCCAAGACCTCTCTCCCCTGTCTTAGAACCTGGTCCTCCATATGCTATGCCAAGCCACCAAGCGTGCCACCATCCTGGACGTCATCAAGGATCCTTGGGTGCTCAAGTTCCAGCCTGAGCAACCCACCCATGAGATCAGGCTGCTCGAGGCCATGTGTCAGCTGCCCAGCACCATGAATCGTCGCCAGTCCTTGGAAATCAATATCTGAAAGTGGCTGAGAGAAGGGGGTTGAGAGAGGAGCAAAGCAGGAGGATCTGGGGCTAAATATTTTATACTAAAAATAAATCTAATTATGATTTAGTTTCATCAGCTGGGGTCAAAGACATTCTTTCCTCAAGGGAACCTTAGCAGGAAACACTGCGAGGGTGAGGTGGATTTTTGTCCAGTGTCTGTAACCTGTCATCTTGACACTTGTTAAGTCCATGTTGTAATTCACAGTGAGCTCATATGTAGCTCTTGTGGGAGAGGGTGCTCAAATGAACACCCGCTTTAGGGAAGCTTCATTATTCTAGCTAGGTACATGCTCCTTATTTTACATATCTTTGCACTCTAAATGTTCAAGCCATAGGGTAGAGGCTCTGATTACTCTGGTTATGGCTCTGACTGTCTATACCTAAAGGGACGACAGGGATGACAAGGACGACATTTATTTTTTTTAGAAATCAGTATCAGGAAGTGAGGAGTATTTTGGTTCCTTGTACGTCTCCAAATGCCACCTTAACTACTACTGAAACAATCCCAGTGAATTGTATGGCCCCTCATACTATTGCTCCTAGACATAGAAATCACAGTTTAAACCAAGCTTATTAAGTATGGGTTCTGGATAAAAGAAAGTGACTTGCCTCTTTATCCCTGTATTCTCCCTCCCTGTCCCTGAAAATGTGCTTTGCAAAAGGAAAATGGGTAGTAAACACGGTGCTGTCTTGACAGAGGCTGATTCAGGGAAAGTGATGAAGGAAGACGCAGAGATAGCTCCACATGGTTCTAAGATAAGTAATAGATGGCAGTTTCCTCAACCTTAGCACTAGGCAACACTAGGATAAACCAACTTGAAAGATGAAACAGTATCTGCCTAGAACCTAGAAGGTGAAATATTGGAAACTCCCATATGTTTTATGTTCCAACACGCCTACGTTACTCCCGTTATTATTCAGTGCTTGAAACAAAGTTCAAAAGACCAGGAAAAGAGTTTCAAGTATAGACAAAGCAGTATAATTTTATTGGGAACGAGGGCACTATAACTGCTATCAAAGAGAAGGGAGCCCCGGGGCTCCTCCTGCACCAAGATCCTTTGGCAGAGTTGAACTAGGAATGCAAGAGCAATAGACCCTTTCTTAGGCAGGGTCACACCACTACCCTCAGCAGGGCCTCCAAAAAAGGCTATGTCCCTTTAGCTCAGCACTTGGCGCTTAAAGAGACCATCGTTGGCAGCATCAGGAAGATATGCCCAGACTCATCAGGATACCCACTCAGCCAGCTGCTTTAGTGCTTCATCTTCACCCTCTTCGAGAGCTTTGGAGACAACGATACCCAGAGAAAGACATATTATGGCCTCAGTATCTTCCAACCACCCCCTGCTACAACTCAGAACCTGCTGAGTTATTTCTCCTCAGCAAAGAACCTAAAGGTGTGGTCCTTCCACTTGCTGGGCGGCTGCTAATCCCATAGTACCTTTGTGCAAATTAGAAAAAGGTATCTCTTTCTCCCAGCATTTGCAGCCCTAAACCAGGGTACACAGCTTGCTGAGTGGAGCACAGGCTGGATTTCAGACCCCATTCCCCTTTGGCCAGGTGCCCTTAGCAGTTAAAAACCTATGCAACTGTAGCAGAAGTCCCCTCTGCCTGGTTCCTTTGAAGCAGGATGGATGAAGAATAATCTTTGCCCATATCTACCCCACCTTCTCAAGTCCTTGAGATAGCAGAAAAGCCTTAGGTACCTGGCCCTGCAGGCAGATGTGTAGAGGGTACACTGGGCAGTTTGAATGGGGGTTCTTCCTCCTTTTCGCCCACATGTAACAACTCCCGGGCCAATTCCTCTTGTTCCAGCTCCTCTAACTCCTCCAACAGTTCATCCTAGATACGGGATAAGACTGGTCAAGATGAAGAAAGGGAACTTCTGCCTCCAAAAACATACCACTTTTGGAGTTCCCCCCAAACTTGCCCCATGATTCTCCTGGGCATTGCTTTTGGCTGGTCTCATGCTTCCTCTAAGACTCCCTGACCCCTCACTCCCAATCACCTCATCCACATCATCTCCAAAGCCCACAGGCTGAGAAATGGCATCAGAGATATGCTTGGCCACCTCCTGTGATTCTGTGATGTCGGCCATCAGTTCATCCACCTTGTCAAGGTCCTTGAGAAGATATATAGCCAAAAAAAAATCAGGCTACAACCCCCCTGACTTTCTCATCTCACATAAATGAAGCCCCTCCAGTCTGTAGCCCTAGACTGATAAATCCATGGCTAGCAGGTAGAAGAGATCCCTGGAAAATTATAATGAGCCAAATCTGGGTTGAGAAATGGCAAGAAGCCATACTGGGGGTGGGGTGGGGGGACAGGTTACATTCTTTTCCCTGAAGGATCTTTCAAAATTTGGAAAATCGTCTTTCCTTGCTAGAATGCCCCAGACAGCAAAGAGATAGTTTTGCAGGAAGTAAGGAGGCTAACAGAGATCTAACCACCATAAATTTACATTTATACTGTAAATTCACATTCTGAGAGGTTTTAAGATTCAAAGTATAATACCAAACTACTCTCCTCAGGGCCTGGGCCCCCCTCTGCCCCTCTCCTCATCCCCACATGTCCTGGTAGGCTTTCTTCATGCTGTGGGCGGCAAGCTCCATGGTACGAAGCACTTCTCTGCATTGGTGGTGTCATTCTCAGTGGCCTCATGCTGAAACTCCAGGGTGGATAACGTCTCATTGGTTTGTGCCAGCTGCTGTTCCAATCTTTTCTTTCTCTGTAAAGCCTGTAGGGCAGCTGACCCAGCCCACACTCTGAACATCAGAGGCAGAAGCCCCTGCTTCCCACCTGGGCCCTCCCTATTGGCACTTTTCACATTATCTCTCTTATTCTTGGTCCCATGCTTCTTGGCCATTTGTACCTCCTGTTGAATCTTCTGTTCCAGAAACTCCTGTTTCTTGATCAATATCTTCTCCGACTCCTTCAGTTTCTGAATTGCCTCTTCAGGGGTTGGTCCCTTCTTTTTCTTCCCCGGAATCCAACGGAGCAGGCGCATATTGCATGAAGAAAAAAAATAATCCACCAATCATGAAGTATGCATAGTATGTGCTAGGTGCTTGACTGTGTTATTTGGGGAAATCACTCTCTACAATCAACATACTATCTTCACTTTATAAATGTAAAAACAGGCATGAAGATGTTAAATTTTGTCAAAAATCACAACTCATAAGAGATTGAGCAGTAATTGAAATGTGGAAGAATGACTTCCAAAGCTAGTATTCTTTTGCTATTCCAAGGTGCTTTTCAAGTTATTGCCAGTCTTTTTTTTTTTTTTTATTATTAATTTATAGACTTAATTTATTAGAGCAGTTTTAGGTTCACGACAAAATGGAGTGGAAGGTACAGAGACTTCCCATATTCCCCGTGCATTCACACATGCAGATCCTCCCCACTATCACATCCTCCACCAAAGTTTAGTCACTTTTTATAATTACTGTTCCACTTGCTATCCTAGGAGATGCTCAAGATCCTGACTCCACAGGTTCAAACTGAAGGAAGTACAGGGAGCTAAAGGAAAAAAAACCTGATCTCAATTTTCCTTTCATCTTCTATACTTCTAACAGAGTTATTCCCCTCCTCCCCTCCAGTCTGATGGCCCTTGCCTACTTAAAGTCCTTCCATACTCTCCATTGCCTACAGGATAAAATCCAAAACTTTTAAAAGGAAGCATACAACATCTTTCATGATCTAGCCCTTGATTACCTCTCCTCCCACACTTCCTTCTACCTTACTTTTCTCCTTCAGTGCCCTCCACATCCTTCCCCACCCCCCTGCTTCCGGGTGTGCGCATGCATGCACGTGCACACACGGCAACCAGAACTGCTCTTTCTTCTAAATATACCACCCCCTTTCCTGCCTGTTTTGTACAGTTATCTTTTCGTGGGTTAACTCAGTTCTCTACCTGGCATACTTCTAGCCTTCTGGACCCCCGATGCCTGCTTCATCTGTGTTCCCCTGGTTTTTAGGAACATCTCAATTTAAATGCCAGTTTTTATTCATCTTCCCCCACCAGATAGGAGCTTTGAAAAGGCCCCTTTCTTTGTCACCTCAGATTCTCAGTTGCCTAGCATCAGATAAGAATGGAAACTCATCCCCCAAGCCTAAACACTGGAAGCCAGCACAGCTGACACAGTCTACACTTACATCCTCTCCTGGGCCTGAGCTCCTCCTTCTGGCTTGGAGGAAAGTAGGCAGACAGAGCTAAGCTCTCTGACAAGGCAGGGCCTCTAGACACTAAAGGCCTTGCTGGGCCACTGCCAAAGTTTTTGGGACAGCCCGTCTCCTGGGTCTCCTCCCTGCCCATGGCCAGTGCCTCTCAGCCCACCCGTCCTGCCCAGGCTCACCCTTTCTGAGTGGCAGAAACCACTCATCGTGACCCTGGCCTCTGAAGCATCCTGCGTACTTCCACTTTGCTCCTAGGAGGGTGCTGTCTCATCATTCAGAGACCAGATTTGCCCAATCTGTCCTTGGGGCACCATGGTGATATCATCAATAGGCACCAAGGAGACCACTTCTATCACGTGATAGGAGCCACTAGCCCCAAATCCTGTGTTCATCTTAAATTGGCTGCTTCACTTTCGACTATGTAAAAAGGCCACACCCACCCCACCCAAAACAAAGTATTTGTTTCCTGTAAGGAAATGTGCAGGTTAATGCACCCTGCTACCTGGGGCTGGTGGAATTTAGTTCTTCATGTCCCTGAAAGAACGCAGCTCAGGGGAGGGATTGGGGATAGGGTGAGCACAAGGGGTTCAGTCTTGGGTTTGTCACAAGTTTGTAAACAGAATGTGAGGCAGTCTAATAATGCCTCACCCTCTGGTCTTGGCACCTCTGGACAACCAACTCCGGTTCACACTCAAGAAAAATAGAAACAACCCACACCGTGTAAGATTTGTTTTGTCACACATGAATACATTTTAATAATTTACAAATGCATCTGAAAATGCCTTCCTGATTTCTTTCAGTTGTATGCCTCAAATGAGGCTCATCCACAGGATTGGACCTCAGGGTCCAGCTTGGGCCTTTGCAAATGTCTCTAATCCCTGAGTTAGGGTTTGAAGACTCATTCCATTCTGGACATGAATGCAGGTAACACCTAAAAAGTAAAATCATATTTCATCAGGACTTCAGAGCTCCCTACTACTCTCATTTTTGGGCTGTCGCCTGTCATGCAAACTGCCCGTCCTGTATATATCTACCTATCCTCCCTCCTAGAAACCCTTCCCAAATGGTTTTTCTCACCACTCAGTACCCAGTTTGCTGACATCTACAATATTCCGCTTCTCATCATCAAAGAAGATCATCTGGGAGAAAGGAACTCCAGTCTTCTGCTGCAATCTGTGCAAGGCAGGGCAGAGGGTAACCATGCTGGCTTCTTAGCTCCTCTAGCCTCTCTGCTCTTCTCTCTCCAGATTTCTACCCTTATCTCCCCATACCTCTCAAAGTGTGCAACCTTGCTGCCTGGATAGATTTCCCGATGAACAAAGTGTCTGACAAAGTCAAAGAGCTCCAGTAACTGGTTGGCCGCTTTAGTCTCACCTGTCCTGCAAAAAGGTGTAGTAGATGGGATCAGGAGAGTGGAGGGCCAGGGCTGCAGGTGAAGTTATGTATAACCAGGGGGAAATCAACTTGTTTTTCCAGGAGGATGGACAGGCCCCCTGGGCCCTTATTTAACTCCATCTATCCTGTCAGACATGGGTGGCGCTGAGCCAATGTTTAATATATAAAAGGCACAGGAGAGGGTATACTTAGAAAAATATACAAATTTGCAACGCTTAAATTTTTGCAGCCAAGGGGTTACCCAAGAAGTCTCATGCATGCATCTGTCAGCGTTAGACTAAGTTTTCTTTTTTCAGTAGCTCTTCTTACCGTGAAGCTGCAGCGATGGGCACCCCAAGGCCGCGAAATCGTTCCAAGACCACTGGAACCTCCGGGTACAGTCGGATGATCTGGCCCCGGCTATCTCGTACAGTTCCATCACTGGAGAAGGCAAGTGAGCTCAGCTCCAGCCAGATCCGCTTGGCCCCAGTCCTCCCCAGCCCTGCCTCACCTGCTCTTATGGAACGGGGGGTCTACGTTCGTGTCCACCCAGAATGGCCAGAGCGTGTAATCTGAGAGAGGAAAAATGGGAGAGTTCAACCTAGAGGACGCAGGGCCTGGAGAACTGAAACTGGGGTTTGGAAAAGGAGAGCGTCCTATGAAACTCTCCAGTCGGGTCCCTCACCCAGGTCGAAGACTGCGAGCTTCGGGAGCTGCGCCATGACTGGTACCTACAAGCTGCGTGCACGCAGGTACGGCCTTCTCTGGGGGTAGAGTTCTGGACACCCTCCGGTGGCTGCAAGGCCGCCCTCTTGCCTTAGAGAGAGTGCGGCTAGAGCGTCGCTAGTGTGTGCTGGGGCCGTCGGCCCGGAGACCGCACAAAAGCGCCCTCTGACGGTGAAAAGGGGAAAAGACTGCAGCAAGCGCCAAGGCGACCACACATAGGCCTGCAGGGGTCCTCGCCCCTCCCTTCCCTTATTTCTCTGCTCCAACCAGCCTCCCCAGGTTCTACAAAACTAGAGAAGCCAGGGAAAGGAAGCCCTTTCTTCTGTCACCCATCTCTCATTTCATCTTAACAACTGAAATCTAAGTTACCCATGATCGCTTGTCACTCCTTACTCAACCTTTGTCCATATCAGCATCTCTCCATGGTGTAGAGCCCAGAGCTCTCAGCAATATTCCAGTCATAAAGAACATGGTGTCTGCAAAATCCCGAGGCCTTTCTCAAACCAGGCCCAAATGTCTAAGACCACAATGGGAGAGAATTCATTCTCCTGGTTTCTACCACCGATGTCAGTAGTATGCTGGTGGATACTTTGGGAGGAGGTACTTATCTGTATTGCTCACCACTTTCCATAAATATGCCTACCATGGCAAATTTTAACCTACCAACATGAAGTTCTTAACACAGAATTGGAAAGAGATGCCAACAATTAGCTCTCATGAACTGCTAAGAGTTGGTTCCAGCACACCTTTGCCACTGAGAGTAGCATTCCTAGAGTCTGGTAATCATTCTAAGGACATATTCCCTTCCATTGTCCTACTCCTTCAGCCTGGTATAACTAGGTGTGTATTGGGTCCATTTTGATTTCAGTCATATTTGTGCAACAGAAGAAAGATTCCAGGAGGCCAGGAAATATTTTATTGACAACCAGGGACACAGCCATAAGAGAGGGAAGCACACAGGACTGCAAACAAAAACCCAATAGCCAGCAAGGGCCCTTTGGGCCAGGAACACTGCATCCTGGGGTCCTCACAGTCTCCTACCAGTAGACACACAAGACTGGGTATCCAGGAGAGGGGGCAGTGGCTCTGATGTCCCAGAGAGGATATATGATGCCTCATTACGAGAGACAGGGTAAAGAGGTAAAATCGAGGGAGGGTCCATCACTGCCTAAGACCACCTCCTCCTCCTCTCAGAGCCAACACCAGATGGAGGACTGAACCACCTAGGATTTTATAATCAGCTGCTGTCTTCTCATCATTCCTGCAGGAAAAGGAAGCCAAAAAAAAAAAAGCATTAAATACCAGCAAAGACAGGGTTCTTAATTTGAGTTTCATGGATCTCCCTGGGGTCTATAAACTCAGATGAGAAAAAAAATTACATCTTTATTTTTACTAACCCCTGACTGAAATATGAAAAAAATTTAAAAATTCGAACATAGGCAAAAACCCACAGTGGTATCAGCAATATTGGGAAACCTGTTAACAACAGAAATTAGGTATTTTCATATCACACTACGACTGTTTGCAGGTATCTTGAAAATATTTCATAATTAGGGTAGTTATCAGATCTACCATTAGATCTTAATGTATTAATAAACCACATATATTATATTATAAATTTGCCTTTTACTATTTTGGTAACTATTTTAATATAATTAGTTTCTTTTGTAAGTCTACGTATTTTATTTTATGCCTGTAAAATAAAAATAAAATTCTACGTATTTTATTTTATGCCTGTAAGCATCTTATTCTGAGAAGGGGTTCACAGGCTTCAACAAATTGCCAAAAGGTCTAAGCAACCAATAAAAAGTAGGCCTGCTCCATCTCTACTATCTACTCTCTCATCATCACATAAGATTGCCACACACTCATTCCCATTCCAAACTCACATCTGTTTACCACTGTAGATGAGCCGCTGCTGCTGTGGAGGGATCCCTTCTTTCTCTTCCACACGTTCCTTGATTCGCTCCACCTTTAGGGGTACAAGGAGTCAGGGGCTACCCGTGGTCAGTAGGGGTAAGACCACAGAAGTGGTAGGAACAAGAGCTATGCAGATAGCATGAAAGCAAAGGACTAAGTTTATCAGCATATCCAAACAAATGTACATGTAGGGAGACAGGCATGAAAGAAGTGTTGGTTATACATTACCTTGTCTGTGGGTTCAATGTCAATCTCAATCTCCTTTCCGGTCAGCGTCTGAAACAGGCAAGAGTTTCATGAGTTCTACAATCCAATATACAATCTGTCTTCTAGGTAAAGCGTCCTGTCCTGGTCTCTGGGATCTACTACCTTCTGAGAGATGCACATTTTCAGTAAAGCTGCTTTGAAGAATCAGAAGGCTTTGGCTGTACCTGTATTCATGAAACATTTTTAGGCTGTGGACAACTTTGATAGGGCAAGATTCTGTGAACCATCTGACTTTCTTAACCCCACAGATCATCTCACACCCTCCACCCCACCCGAGTAGAATCCAGGAGAATACTGGCATTCCTTTGCATGAGACAGTGGGGTGAGAGGTGTACTTACTAATAAGCAAAGTATTCCTTTGAGTCTGAGGACCTTGTTTTCATATCAATGACAGAAATTAACATTCGGATAGAATTCAAGGACATCAAAGATCACCTCTGAACAGCTTTTAAAGTAACACTAGAATTAACATTCTATTCTCCCATATCTTCTCCAGACTTCTACCAGAGTCCTAAATTGAAGCTCTGGTCTTCTTGACTTCTTCCATAGGGTAAGGGCTGTTGACATGCAAACACAATATACTAATTGTACACTTAAAAATGTTGTACTCCATCCAATCTAATTTCCCATTCATCCTTGGTATTAAAGCTCATACCCATGCTAGTCTACAATAATCCAGACCACAAACACACCAGGCATGGCCCAATTAAGGGGCATTTCTTTACTTCTACTGTGTTCCTTGTTGCCATACCCTCCTCCACTCTTTCTCAAACCCTCAAAGGCCTTTTAAAATAAGATTGATGACTTGTCCCCAATGCATTTTAAAAAAATTAAATTTATTGAGGTGACATTGGTTAATAAAATCATATCGGTTTCAAGTGTACAATTCAATAATACGTGATCTGTATATTGCCCTAACGCACTTTAATACCCATTACAGCTATTTAAGTGTCAAACTCTCCAACTTCTTAAAGGACAGAGCCTGTTCTAAGCACAAAGTAGAGTGTCTGACATATAAGCAATCAAAAAATATTTGTGGAAGGGCTAAATACACAGATGATTGTATTACGATCACAGCCAAGATTTACTGAACACTTTCCAAGAATCGGACTATGCTAAGTGTCTCACATGCATCAATATATTTAATCCTTGCAAGTATTTCTGAGATAGGACCTATTACTATCACCAATTTATAGATGAGGAAAATGGGCCTTGGAGAGGTTAAAAAGCATGCCTATGAAGTCAAAAGGAGAGTGTGGATCCCAACAGACTCTCTGGTCCCAAAGCCTGAACTCTTAGCTCTGTACTCAGTAATGCCTAACCAAGTCTGGCTAGTCTAGTATTGGGACCCAATGTATGCTATTGTGGTAGGTTCACAAAATAACATATGGTTTCTACTTATGGTATTCATATAGACCAGTATGAAGTAAGTACTTAAGGAAGGCCTAATTTCTCAACTACGTGAATGGTTCAGTCCTAAGTATATAGTATTTCCAAAAATGCAAGAGTAACTCCTTTGGATTTGTCTGTTTGGATGCAAAAGAATAAATTAGAACAATGATTCTCAAGTTTCTACCCCAACCCAAACTGCTCTGTGAAAACTTTCAATAGTCTATGGTAAAATGAGAAAAATACTGAGAGCAATGAGACTTTCACAAAATCAAGTATGTTCAGGTGTTAAAATGTCCTTTTATAACATGATAGTAACAACAGTCAGTAATTTTTTTAGGCCCTTTCCTAACGAAATTAAAAGTTTGCAATTCTGTGTTGCCCAAATTATTTCATTTTATTGACCTCAATACTTTAAATGCAAAGACTCTTCAACCAGACAATTCTATTTCTAGGTCAGTAACTTGGAGGAAAAACTTGAGCATGTATCCAAAGAGGAATATGTGAAGTTTACTCCAGAAGCTTTTATAAAAGCAAAACCCTAGAAATAGCTTAATGCTTAATAATAAGAAAACTATTAAACTATGGTACATCCATAGAATGATACACTTATTACGTAACAATTTATACATTAACATGGAAAAAAATCTAAAGAATGCATAATTAATTATACATTATTTTCTATATGTAGATATATACATATGTACATGCACAGAAGAAAGGATTAAAAGTATAAATTTCTCTTATGATAGTGATTATCTTTGAGAGAGGGGAGTAGGACTAAGGGGAGGGTTTATCAAGGTAACTCTTTTACCGGTACTATTTAAATTTCTAATAAAAATATATCCCTTTATCATATGAACATTAATAAACAAATACTAATTCTGATTTAATAAAAAATTTTAAAGAGTAAAAAAAGATTCTAACAGAAGGCTGAGAACTGCTTTCCTAACAATAAGATGCTTGGCCCTATGACATTAAAAAAAAATTACTGGTTTGTAAAGTCTAAAACTCTTGGAACAGTCCTTTGTTTCTGAAATTCACTGTAGAAGCCCATTAATGTATTAAAGAGCAATCTGGAAATATGGTTTCCCAGCAACAATACTTCTGGAAAAATAATCATAACTATGTCCAAAAATATACCTATGGCAATGGTCACTGCAGCTTTTTGATACTGAAAAAAACTAGAAATAAATCTAAATATCAAACAATTGAAGGTTAAATAAATTATGGTGCAAATATAGATGGAAAATCACACGGTCTTCAAATACAGTTTAGAATAATGGTAAAATTATAATTTTGTAAAAAGAACAAAATAAAAACATACATGCATGTGCTTTCAAAAAGTTTGGAAGGACATATACAACAGTTATCTTGAGTTGTGAGGCTATGAGTGATTTTAATTTTTTGTGCTTTTCTCTATTTTCCATTTTTTATGCCATTATACATTGTTATGAGAAAAATTTATTTTTAAATACCCTTGATGAGAGTATAATGAAATAATTCTGTAAAGCAGCACTGTCCAATAGAAATAAAAATGTAATGCAAACCACATATACAATCTTAAATATACTAGTAGCCATATGTTTAAAAAGTGAAATTATTTTTAATATTCTTAAATCAAATACAGTCAAGATATTACCACTTTAATATGAAACTGGTATGAAAATTATTAATGTAGTTTACATCCTTTTTTTAAACCAAATATTCAAAAATCCTGTATTTCATACTTATGGCACATTTCAATTCAGATGGTAAATTTTCATCTGAAATACATGATCTGTATTTAAATTTCATAATTTACAGATGAAAAAGTAGATTTATATATCCAACTTAAAAGTTTTCTAATGACTAAAGTTTCAGTTTTTATATTTAAATTAAAATTAAATACAAATGAAACAAATAATAGAAATAAAAATTCAATTCTTCCATCTCACTAGCCATATTTCAAACGTTCAGTAGTCCATGTGGCTAATGGTTATTGTATTGGACACTACTCAAGCATTCCAGCTAATATAAGAAACAACAATAAAATCAGATTATCCCCATTTTGTAACTTCCAATGAAATAATGGATCTAAGTAATGACCAACATCACAGAAAGCAAAATAACAGAAGTACATATTACACTATCACCTATGAATTATTCTCACACATGAACACACAAAAAATATAATCAAGCTACTAGATCTTATTATCAATCAACAGGAAAAACAGCAGAGGAATATATTAAAAAACAACATGGAGATGCAATCAGCAAAATTTAACTGTGGGAAACTATGGGACAAACAACCTAGTTTATTCAACAAGAAAAAATAGGGAACAAGGGGCATTACAGATTTAAAGAGGCTTAAAATACATGTCAACCAACTGCAATGTATCATTTCAGTTGGATCCAGATTCACTCAAACTGTAAAAAACAAATGAACTGAGCTCCAGATACTTGGTAGATTGATGGGATCGATAAATGAGGTGAGTATTGGGGAGACGACTTAAGACAGAAAATGATGTATTTAATTTTAGAAAGATGGAGATGAGATGTCAAAAGACTTAAATCAGAAGGATTTGGATTTGTCTGAATCTCTTGGGCAGGAAAGGTGGGAGAGGCTCAAAGGTTCTTTCTGAGTCCTGTTTCTTAATAAACATCTTAAAATCAATATCCCAAAAAGCAGCCTCAGGGCAGCAGCAAAATTTTGGTTCCCTTCACAATATTGTATTATGTACTTGAAAGTTGCTGAGAGTAGATCTTTAAAAACATGTAATTATGTGAGATGAATGAGTAAACTAACCTTACTGTGGTAACAATTTTGCTCTATGTACACGTATCAAATCATCATATGGTTCACCTTCAACTACACAATAGTATATGTCAATTATATCTCAATAAAGCTGACAAAATTGTATATAAAAAAAGGATTTGTAAAACACTGCAGAAAGAGATATGGAAGAAATCAGCTAAATGGAAATGAAAGTTGAAAAATGAGTATTTCACAGTGGAGGCCTGCCAATAAAAACTATCATTTATATAGTAATTAACCTCTAATTGCTTTCATATATATTTAATTAAAAAAATGCAGCAAACATAAAAGAAGATAGACGTAGGACAGAGGAACCTGTTTAAAGACAGAAAGTTTTTCAGTAAAAGAGACTGACCATTATAGAGAAGTACTAAATAAAAATTCAGAGAGACGAAATCTAGAATCCTGCTACTAAAAGTGTGGCCCCCAGACAAGCAGTGTCATCATCATGCGGGAGCATGTTAGAAATGCAGAATCTGGGGTCCCATCCCAGACCCAATGAATTAGAATTAGGATTTTTACAAGCTCCTCATGTGATTCTTATTCAGTTTTAAGTTGAGAAGTCCATCTATAACACAAGTATTTTTTTTTTAACGCAGGTCTCAAGCAACTGTGGGTTAAGAAATCAACTTAGAATAGAATTGAAAATATCAGAGCATATCACAGATTCTAAGTTTTTTGTGTCTGTCTGGGACATGAGGTAAAACTTTTTAGTGTAGGTTGAGATTTTTTAAAAAGTTTACAAAACACTGAACACCAGGCATTGTTATAACCTCTTCTTTGGACTAAAGAGTACTAAAGGGACACAAAAAACCTTATGCATTGAAAAGAAGATAAAAGCATTCATCTGCTAGTGTTTCTCACATTTTTTGACAGTAACCCACACTAAGAAATACATAAAAACTAGTAAAACATACATATGCATAAAATAATAATAAAGTAAAAAAATTCACAAAACGATACACCTATCCAACAGTATACCGATATTTCTATTACCTTTCTTCTTTTTGTAATGTTGCTTGCGACCCACTGATCAATTGATTTCACAATTCATGACTCTTTTATAGGTCATTAGTTTGAAAAACAATGATCTTTGGCCATGCTGTCTGGCCTCAATTCTTAGCTAAGAGGTGGTTTGGAAGTACTGAAGAGGTTAAGAATGGCTATTATGTAAATACACAAGAGGGTTGATGAAATAACGGTAGACTTACTTAGAGTAAAACAATCAAACTAACGTTGCACTGCATCGATTGTTAATTTTTGCCTCTCTGCAGGTACAAAAGAAGAAATAGCAGGTAGCACTAATGAGGGCTGAGAACTGGTGAACACTGGAGTGGAGAGACGGAGATGAAAGAGACACTTCTAGTACCAAGAACTAGGGCACTGGTAACTAATCTGCCTCAGTCAAGTAAGTGAGGCTGGTCCAGGATGCCCGGCTCAGAAAGGTAGGTGCTGACTGAACACACTCCCAGCTTTGGTTCCTGAGGGCTGGCTCATACCACACCTTGGCGACAAGCAAAAGCTTACAGTCTAAACCCCGGTAGGCCCCCGGTTCTCCAGGCTAACGTTTTTGAGGGTGCTTGGTGGCAGCCTATGTTAGGGGTTGGGAGAAGCTGGCAACCTGGGCATGAAGAACGGAGATCAGAGCTTATTTCAAGAATCTGAGAGGAAGCCAAGCTGCTGCTAGGCCTTCTCTCTGACTCTGGGGGTTCGAATACAGCGAGACTTGAACAAAAAAGGCGCCCTTCTGGGCAAAGTACCG